GGTGCTTGGGCCTGCTGCAGCATCGCTGCGTGCCGCGCTCCCTGCGACGCGGCGGCGCGACCTTGCACTACCGCCGCTGCAACAATATGGGCCGCGCTCAGGTCATGGGCAGATGGCAGGGCACTGCCGCGGCGAGGCTCGACATGTCGGACAGTGCGCAGACTATGCTGCAGAACGCGTTCGGGCCAGTGGGCAGTGGATCTGGGCAGATTCTGCCGCCTGGCGGCAGCTCTCAATCATGACGTGCGCTAAAACAGAGTGGAAGGGGCCAGGCGGCCGCCCAGCCAAACCCCTGGGCAACCCTTCGAGGCAGGCCTGGGCGTCTGCCTCGGGCCCCCCCCCTTGCCCACGGGCGAAGGAGGGCTACGTTGCTCGCGGCTTTGGGCTGGGGGGCCGCCCGATCCACGAGCGTGCAGAAAAGATTGGAGGGCGACCCGGCCATCCCCTTGGCTTACCCTCAGACTCAGCATGGGGGCGAGACGCAGACTCTGCCCCTGGCCCTCTGTCCCGCTGGGAAAGGGGTGCTGGGTAAGTCGACGGAGAGGTCGGGCCGCCATTCCGATCAGCTTGCGTATACTTGGTCAGCTTCGCTGTTAGCATTTTCCCGGCCCCCAACCACCCTAGGGAATCGAGACGGTAAACCAGAGTGGGGTGCATGGAAGGGGGGGGGCTCCTTTGGGGAGGGTTCGGTCTCGTATTCGCGTTGCCGCTCCTCGAGAGGGGTTCTGGGGCTTGCTCCGGGGGTTCGAACTCGCGTTCGCGCTTCCGCCCCTCTGAGGCGTGGGGCTCCTCAGAGAGGGAGGGTCTTGCGCTGGCAGCCCCCCCCTTGCACGCAGGACTTTGGCAAGGGATGGGACGTGAAAAGATGGGGACGGGAATGCAGGTTGGTGATCATTATCCTTGGGTTTCTCATGCGATTTATCTCCCCTGGCACGCCCCCTTGGAACGTCTCTCCCGATGCCGCCCCCCCCGCAGCCGCCTCGGTCCCTCCCGTGCCCTTCCCTACCAAAATTGGGGAAAGGGGGGGGCTCCTTTGAGGAGGGTTCGGTCTCGCGTTCGCGCTGCCGCTCCTCTAGAGAGGGGTTCGGACTCGCGTTCGCGCTGCCGCCCTCCCCTCGGGGGTTCGGATTCGCGTTCGCGCTTCCGCCCCTCTAAGGCGCGGGGTCCCTCAGGGATGGGGGGTCTTGCGCTGGCAGCCCCCCTTGCACGCAGGACTTTGGTAAGGGATGAAACGTAAAAAGATGGGGACGGGAAGGCAGGTTGGTGATGTGTGTATATATATATATGTGTATATATATATATGTATATATGTAATCACCCGTTTCCACCGCGCCCGCCCCTGATCATCCACCACTTCAGCCTCCTCAACCTCGTCCGCCTCCCCCTCATTCGCATACGCGCCCGCGTCCCATGCAGCCATATAAACGGCGAGATGTAGCTCGGCAGATGTTGGCGAGGGGGAGAGGAGGGGGGAGACGGGAGGAGGAGGAGGAGGAGGAGAAGGAGGAGGAGGAGGAGGAGGCGGGAAAGGGAGGAGGGGAATGAAAGCGAGCGGAAGCCTCCTCCTCTTCCTCGTTCCTTCCTCCCACCGTCCCTTCCTCCTCCCTCCTCCTCCTCCTCCTTATCCTACTGATTATCCTCTCTTCCGCCTCATCCCACATCCTACATCCGACATCATCGTTCCCCCTCCCCTGCCCGTCTCCCCTGCTCCTCCTCCTCCCCGTCCTGCATTCCCCTCTGCCATCCACCTTTGCCCTGCTGGAGGTGATTCTTGAAGCCAGGGTTCCTCCTCCTCCTCCTCGTCCTCTTCCTCCACCTCCTCCCTCCACTGTTCTTCCTTATTAGTAAGCCCCCCCCTGTCGCACCTCGAGGCCAGTGTGAAGGGCGGCCCGGGCGTTTCGCCTGAGATTTCCTTACCACGCGCGGTCCTGAAGCTTCAAAGCTGGGAACCGCTTCGCAGATGGAGGGCGGCTTGTTTTCAACATGTGGCTCTCGTTTCAGTGCTTCGCACACTCGTCTTCAACAGGTGCAAGAATATCAGGAAATTCCATGCGTAACGCACCAACAACGGTTTTTGAAACGTCTTGTGACTGTTAGGGCGTAGCCGGAGTGTCAAAGGTGGTGCTCTGCCACGGTTCAGGATCGCCAACAGACAACAGTCATGTTGATTCATGGCGCTGAAGTCCCGACATTGGTGTTTGGGCACGCTTCAGGATCTTCAAACAGTTGTCTCCCAACGGTGCACTTCCCTCAGCGGACATGAATCCTTGTAGGGACTTGTGATATGGAAGCTCGGGGAGAGAGTTTATTTCAACATCGATGATGAGTCTTGGGTTCTCCCTGGTCCTCCTCCTCCTCCTCCCGCTCCTCCTCCGCCATGGACCCGTTCTTGAGGCACCTTGAGGAGCAGACGGCCCAGACCTGGCACCTCCTAAGCGTGCCGCCGCTAAACGGCGCTTGTGCCGACGATGTGGGCTCCTCTCTCCGACTCTCCCCTCCGTTCGTGACCTCCCCCTCCTGCTTCCACCTTTCGTCTCGGCCGAAAAGGTGTCGCCACGCTGGAGCTTCCGCCTGCCAAATGCGTCTTGGCTCCAGTGGGGCAATGGCTCACAGAAGCAGGTGCCTGGCAGATGCGCCAGCTCCTCCGGGTGCTAGTCACAGCGTGGGGTACGTTCAAGATTGCTCGATGCGCTCCCTTTTCTGGGGGCTCTGGTTGGCCCGGAGGCTGGTCTGGAAGATCAGTGGACCGGCGCCGTGCGAAAGTGGAAGTTCCAGTGGAAGAGCAGGAGAGCACGATTATGGAAACGTCCCTCACCAGGGGCCCTAGGGAGGGTAGCTGTGGGATCTATAACGTGGGGGTTCTGCCAGTGTGCCACTATCTATCCCAACTCTTCCCCCTCCCTGCAGCTGTGCTCTCTGCTGAGCGCCACGTTCTCCAGCGCCTCCTGCGTCTCCCCCCCAGGCGCATTCGCGTTAGCTGAGTTATTGAGCATCGGAAACTAGCTCACCTCGGCCACCCTCTCGCTCCGCACGACCGCCGCTACGCAGGCATGGCCGACAGCACACCTCATTTTAAAAAGCGAGGTCGGTGGGGGGGGCGGGTGGTCGCTGTAGCGCAGCTGCGAGAACATGCTTGGGTGCATGGGCACCGCGTGGCTTTAATCAGAGGGGCCATCTGCGCCTGAGTCGTGGAGGAATCGTCGTATCAGCATAGCCGAGTAGGTACTGCTCTTCGCTCTCTGCCACTCTTCCCATGGGCTTTCCCCGGCCCGCCTGGCAAGACGGCGCTGCCTTCCATCGTGGAGCTCCGTGCTGCCAGACGGTACGGCCGTCGCCCCCGCCCAAGGCGAGTGCTTGCTCGGTCGTTCTGGCTTTCTGTGCTCCCTGATGTCATGCCCTCCCTCCTTCGTCGTCGCATGTAATCCTGGCCCCCCCCACTTCTCATGGCGCCAACATCCCAGGGCGGATTTCGCTCGGAGAACGATGGGGTGGGCCTCGAATGTCCTGGAGAATTTCGTTTTGGATTTCGAAGCGAATTTCGAGCGGAGTTTTTGGGCCAAGAATGAAGACTAAAACAAGTCCACGCGAACTTCACTTCATTTTTCCCTCGCTGTTAATGGGTCTTGCGCTGACAGGATCCGCGCAATAATCCGCTGCAGCACGTCTGCAAGGTCGGTACAGTGACAACTCCCAGACGACGAGATCAGGCAGCGACGGGCAGCGCTACAGTCGGGGCCCTGAAGAAGGAACCCTTTTCGTTGGGGAGGGGCTCCGCGTTCCTTAAGTGTTTCACAGCTCGCCTCAGGCTTTCCTTCTGTTTTTGACAGGCAATCGAAGGTTAACTTATGGAAAAAAGGGGCCTCGTTCCTTATTTAGGGTTCCTTAGGTCAACGCCCCGACTGTACGCAGCATGGCGGCGAGGACTCCGCCCGACCGGGCATGGGCCCGCCTTTGGCCGGCGCCCGGACCACTTCCGCTCGGCTCCTAGCCATGGCTTGGCGGCCCCGCCAAGCCCCGCGGCACGCCCGCGGGAGCGTGGACCTCTCGGCCACCGCAGCTGCTGGACGAGGACGGCTTCGCCCGTTTTGGTCCGGCGTCGTCTGGGCGCGCGTGGCGTGGCTGAATACTCAGTACGGTCGGGCGTACAGTCGGGGCCCTGAAGAAGGAACCCTTTTCGTTGGGGAGGGGCTCCGTGTTCCTTGATTGCTTCACAGTTTGCCTCGGGTTTTCCTTTGGTTTTCGATGGGAAATCGAAGTTCAACTTGTGGATGAAGGGGCCTCGTTCCTTATTCAGGGTTCCTTGGGTCAACGCTCCGACTGTAAAGCCGTGCGTGCCGAGATCAGACTGTCGCTCTTCTTCGATGTGCGACCCGGGCCCATCTGATGGCGGGCGTGGGGGCCCTGTCCGTTGGGATCCGGGGCCCCCGCTCGTGACGAGCTCGGCCACTGCACTCTGTGCCCCCGCTTCCTTCGCCTGCCTGCGCTCCTCGTGGCCACTTGCCCGCCTCCCCCAGCACTGCTCGCTTCGGGCTGGGCATGGAGCCAGGTTCAGAGCGGGGGTATCCCCGTGCCCGTCTGCATGTGATCGATGTCTTGGCGTCTTACATGTACCACAAGCTTGCATCGCAAGCTCAAGGCAGAGTGTGAGGTGCGCGGGAGCGTTCCCAGCACACCAACATGTCACTGCTATTCTGGCAGCTGCGAAGGCCGCCACTGGTCTCTAGCTCGCCGCCGCGCCGTCCCACGAACTCATTTGGTACGATTGCTCCTCCCTCCTCCTCCCCCTCCTCCTCCTCCTCCTCCTCCTCCTCCTCCTCCCTCCTCCTCCTCCTCCTCCTCCTCCTCCTCCTCCTCCTCCTCCTCCTTCTCCTCCTACTCCTCCTTCCTCCCCTTCCCTCCCCTGCCTCCTTTCCCCCCCTCCCTCCCTCCCTCCCCGATCCCCCCCCCCCTTGCGCGCGCTGGGCGGGCCAGGGCGGGCTCATCGCGTGCTCTGTCCGCAGGTGGCGCACGCCATGGTGTTGCTCCGGGAGCTGGAGGCGCTGACCCGGCGGGCAGCCGCAACATAGCCGTATCCGCGGCCTCGCGGGCCAGGCCCCTGGGCCGCGACCCCGCGTGAGGGGCGTTTTTTCCCCAGATGCCTTGCGTAGTACGTGCGTATCCATGTGACCGCATATCCGCGGGATCGCGCCCCAGAATCCAGACTGCGAGGGCGCGGAGGGGATCCGATGATTCGAGGATTCGATGATTCGAGGACCCTCTTGCTGCACACCGAATGGCTTGCGCAATGGGGCCTGGCGCTCACATGCCAACTGTCTATGGAACGTCGATGGAGCACATTGCACCGAAGAGTGGGGGGAACGTGAGGTGGCCCCGAACAGCCATATTTTTGTTTCGAAGCGGTAGACAGGGAGAGGAGGAGGAGGTAGGTAGGTCGGTAGGTAGGTAGGTCGGTAGGTAGGTCGGTAGGTAGGTAGGTCGGTAGGTAGGTAGGTAGGTGGGTAGGTCGGCAGGTAGGTAGGTAGGTAGTGAGGTAGTTCGGCTGATCGGCAGGTCGGTAGGTAGGCAGGTGAGGCGGAGGAGGCAGGAGGAGGGAGGGTACATTTATCGAAAACGCCAACGAGTAACCAACGCCGCCCCCTGCCTTTTGTAAACAGCCATGCTGCAACATGTTGGGCCAAAGTCTGGCGAGCCATTGTGGAACCCCTTGGGTGAACACTTGGAAGAGGAGCAGACATGAGGAGGAGAGGACGGAGACTGAGGAGGAGGAGAAGGAGGAGGAGGAGGACGAGGAGGAAGAGAAGAAGACAGTGTAGGCCTCTTGAGGCCCTCTTGGGGCCTCCTGAGGGGGGCTTCCTGGGAGCCTCCTGGGGCATCCGAAGGAACCTCCTGGGGCCTCTTGGGGGTCTCTTGGGGGCTAGTGGGGGCCTCTACGGTACCTCTCGGTCTTCGGAAGCTGTCTTTGGGGCCTCTCTGGAAAGAAGTGGGTCCCTCTAGGGGATTTAGGGTCGTCTTGGAGGTACGTATGTGGATCCGTCTTCGGGCTCTCTTGAGCGCCTCTTGGGCCGTCTTGGGCTTTCTTGAGCCGCCTTGCGGGCTTCTTGGGGGCCTCTTGGGCAGTCTTGGGGCGATCTCGTGGGGGCCATAGGGGCTGCTTTGGAGCGTCGGAGACACGAAACGGCGAGAACGCTACATTGCGCGACGAACGAACGAAACATTCATGATTTTGGCCTCCGGGATGTCCTCTTGGATCCATCTTGGGGCGTCTTTGGGGCCTCTTGGGCTGCTTGGAGGGCATCTTAGGCCGTCTTGGGGCCATCTTGGCAGTCTTGGCGTCTGGGGGGCCATCTTGGGCCATCTTTGCCGTCTTACCATTTTGGGCGTCTTGGAGGCGGAGGAGGTTGCTTTCCAGTTTCTCGGTGTGGCCGGATTGTGACGAAGGCCTCTGGGAACCTTCTTGAAGGGTCTTGATCTGTAAATCGCTGAGCACGTCAAACACACGTGTGAGAAACACAGGGGGCGGCGGATCGAAGACGCCTCCGGCCAATCACCGCCGCCTCCTGCCCTTTGGGAAGTGCCTGTGTGGCCGATCGTTGCGGCCAGAGCTCGGCCACGCTATCGGACGATGTGTCCCCCCAGCCATTGTGCAAACCCTTCGGGGCACACGTTGGGGAGAAAGGAGAATAGGAGAGGAACGAAAAAGGAGTAGGAGGCCTCTTGGGAGCCTCTTGGGGCCACCTTTGTGCCTCCTGGGAGCTTCCTGCGGGCCTCGCGGGGAGGCCTCTTGAAGGCCTCGTGGGGGGCTTCCTTTGGCCTCTTGGGGGTCCTTGGAGGCTCCTTGAGAAGCTCTTTGGCCGTCTGAGGGCGCGCCTTGCCCGTTAGACGCCGTCGGAAATCGTCTTGGGGACCTGGGCCGGCACGGAAACGGAAAGAGCGCTGCAGCAACAGAAACCGAAATGACGCACACCACCGTTCGTACTGGGAGCCTTGGTGTTGAGAGCTTATTACGTCACCCCTCGCTCTTGGGAGCCTTGCTGTTCAGAGATTTTTGCGTTGCCGCCCGTTCCTGAGCCATGGCTGGGCCTTGGTGTCAGGAACTTGTTACGTCACCGCTCTCTGCTGGGAGCCTTGGTCTTATCAGCTTGTGTACGTCCCCGTTCGCTCTTGGGAGCCTTGGTGTGAAGAGCTTTTTGCGTTACCGATCGCTCTTTATTTGGCGTCTCTGGGCCTTCGTGGGAGTCTTATTGGGGCCCTTTTGGAGCCCTTTTGGGGGCCTCTTGGGGGCCTCTTGGGGGCCTCTTGGGGCTTTTGGGGGGGCTCTGGGGGCCTCCTGGGAGCGTCTTGGGGCGAAAGGCTAGACTTTTGGGTTCGTGGTCCCCCTTCTTGGGGCCGTCTTGGGGCCCTCTTGGGCCGTTTTGGGGGCCTCTTGGGAGCTTCTTGGGCCGTCTTGGGGCGGTCTTGGGGGCCTCGTTGACCGTCTTCAACGCCGTGAAAGCCGAAAAGCCGTGTATGCTACAAATATACGTCTTCCCAAATGGAATCAATGATTTTGGCCTTTTGGGACGCCTCTTGGGGGCCTCTTGGGGGCTTGTTGGGAGGCTCTGGGGGCCTCCTGGGAGCGTCTTGGGGCGAAAGGCTAGACTTTTCGGTTCGCGGTCTCCCTCTTGGGGCCGTCTTGGGGCCCTCTTGGGTCGTCTTGGGCGCCTCTGGGGCCATCTTGGGGTTCTCTTGGGCCGTCTTGGGGGTCTCTTGGGAGCCTCGTGGGCCGTCTTGGGGCGGTCTTGGGGGCCTCTTGGGCCGTCGTCGACGCCGTGAAAGCCGAAAAGCCGTATATGCGAAAACACGTTTTCCTAAGGAGAGTCAATGATTTGGGCCTCTTGGGGCAGTCTTGGGATGCCCCTTGGGCGCCTCTTGGGGGCCTCTTGGGGGCCTCTTGGGCCGTCTTGGGCGGTCTTGGACTCTCTGGGAGCGCTCTTGGGCCGTCTTGGAGGGGAACCCGAAACACAGGCAAAAACCAGATGGAACCCCGAAAACGGCCATTAGACTTTCTTTTGGACCCCTCCCTTAAGGGCGTCGTCCCAACTCAACGTCATCACTCTTACCTCGCTCTTTCCGTTACCTGTCTGGGCCAATTTAAGGGCTCTTTTGAGGCGCTTCAGGGCCGTCTTGGAGGCCATGTTGGGCGTCTTGGAGAGGTCTCCTGGGCCGTCTTGGGGTCATCTTGGTACCGTCTTGGTGGGGGGGCATCTCGGAGGCCTCTTGGGCTCCCTTGGGGCCATTTTGGTGGCTTCTGGGCCGTTTTGGGTCGTCGGAACGCCAAAGATTAGCAAACGCCCACATCCTCCAAACACCGAAGGAACATAACGGATGTTTGCTTCTTCGGGCCTTTCTGGATGTCCTTTTGAAGGCCTCTTGGGCCGTCTTGGAGGCCTCTTGGGCCGTCTTGCCAAATCTTGATGGTGCATCTCAGCCAGTCTTGGAGGCATCTTTTGGCCACCTTGGATCCTTGTGTGGCGATCGTAGCCATCGCGCCGCGCAGCTATCCCTCGCATTACGTTGGAGCAAAGGGTACAACGATAGCCCCCCGAGGCACTGGGCTGGCTTAGCGGTCGCAACTGTTCACGCCTTCGTGCATGCAGGTTCGCATGTGTTTTCAGCCAGATCTTGCCAATGCGCCGTCAGGGCGCGGCTTTTGTGTGTAGCTGTCTTGGAAACAACATTGGCCGTTTTGGAGACCATCGCAGGCGGGTTGACGGACACGCCGCCAACCTGATCTTAGAGCGTGTCGTTTCTGACAGACTGTCATCCACTTCATCAGAGCCAAGCGTGCTTTGGGGGGGCGTGCAGCATGCTGGCCGAAGCTTTGTAATACCGCCCACGCGCCCAGCTGCATCCGAACCAGACGCCACCTCGGGGGTCAGGTCGACAGGGGAGGCGTTACATGGGAAGGCACCCTACTGGTCGCCGTCGGTCGTGTCAATCCCCCGTGTGTCATCAGCTGTGCTCCGTCGGCCGCCCTGCCCCCGTGTTTTTTCTCGACTGGCTGGACAGGTGCAGGCCCACCGCATAGACGATCCCACGGAGTACATCCGCAAGACTGCGTCGCTGGCGGGGGAGGACGACGTGCACATCCCGCTCGTGGACCAGGCTGCGGCACCACGGGGAGAACGCGTTGGGAGAAGAGCCGGGAGAGGAGGGGAGGAAACCGAGTGGGAGTGGAGGAGGCGGAGGAGGAGGAGGAGGAGGAGGTGCATTCTCCCCTCTTCCCTCCTCCCTTTGTCCTGGTCCGCCTCGCCTCCCGCGTGGGAGGGCGCCAAGAGGATTGGGGGAGGAGGGAGTACGGGCGAGGAACGCGACGACCGAGCCAGGCAGGGATGGAAGAGGCAGGAGGGAGGGAGGAGGCAGGGAGGAGGGAGGGAGGGAGGAGGGAAGGGGGGAGGGGGAGAGAGACAAGCTAGGTGCGTATCTGACGTTCCATCCCTTACCATGGCGTAGATCTCTTCTCTATTCGCACAATCGGATGTCTTCGTAGCATGGCATAGCATTGCATGGCACAGCATGGTCTTGAAGATCAATCTCAACGCGTAGCATTACATAAAATGGCGAGGCGACGCCCCAAAGTGGGGGGGGGCTTCTGCGACCCCAAAATCAACGAATCGGCACCGAATGTGTAATCACTTCCGATGGTTTTTTTCGGGAGGCCATGCTTTGGATTTTGAGGCTTATTTGGAAGACCCGAAAACCATGCCGTGGCACGGCGCTCGAAATAATGACGCCAGCGCTGCAGGGGAGCACGGTTCGGAACGAGCGGAAGCGCGGAAATGAGGCCAGCGTTGCAGCGGGAGCACGATTCGGAACGAGCGCAGCTCTCCGAAAGCAAGTTCCAGCGAAAACCCTTTTCCCGGGAATCTTGTGTGCAAATGCCAATACGCGGAGGAGGGCCGGCCATTTCCCGGACGTCACCCGGGGAGAGAGGAGAGTGGCATATTGCGTCATTGTGGAGGGAGGACGGAGGGGGGAAGGGAGGCGGAGACGCAGGAGGTAGGAATTGGGGGTTGCGCAGGCGGAGCGGCGACCCTGCGAGTGTGACGCCGTCCGCTCCCCCCCCCTCCCAGCAGCCTCCCAGAAGGTGCGCCGCCGCCTCGGATGCACCCTCGGCCCGCGCCCCCCCCCCCCGTGGCGGGCCCGCGAGGGGCAGCGGCCCCGAGGCGGCCCGAGGGCCAGGCGACGGCCAGGTGGGCGGCTGGACGTCTGCGGCCGTCCTCCGTCCATCCGTCCAGCTGGCCTGAAGTCGGGCCTCTCCCTCTAGAAAGGAAAATTCAAACATAGTCAAGGCATAGCAGTATGGTGCCGATGTTGTTTAAAACTATTCTTGGCTATGCTTGAACATTCTTGTGCTCTTTTTTATTTTTCGTCCAAGAGCCGCCTGTAAGACTAAATCCGGCCGTCGCCTTGCCACTGGCGCCCACGCCCCGCCCCCGCCCCCCGCCCCCCCCACCCGATCAAGATGGTGCCCGATCGGCCACCCTCTCGTCCCCCGCTGCCCGTCCACAGCCGCCAACGCCCCCCCCCCGCCCTCGTCCTCCTCACCTCCTCCCTCCTCCTCCTCCTCATCATCATCATCCTCCCTCCTCCTCCTCCTCCTCCTCCTCCTCCTCCTCCTCCTCCTCTCCTCCTCCTCCTCCTCCTCCTCCTCCTCCTCCTCCTCCTCCGCCTCATCCTCCTCCTCCTCCTCCTCGTCCCTCCTCCTCCTCCCTCCTCCTCCTCCTCCTCCTCCCCCTCCTCCTCCGCCTCCTCCTCCTTCTCCTCCTTCTCCTCCGTCGCACGCTTCCCGTCCACTGCCGCCCACGCCCCGCCCCCACCCGATCAAGACTGCGCCCGATCGGCAGGGAGACGGGCCCACACCAGGCGTGTCGGCGCGTCAGGCTCGTGTCGCCTCGGCGCTGCAGCGGCGCGGGCGCGGGCGCCCATGGCCCATCTCCCGCTGACAGCCGCGGGGGAGGAGGCCCACGGCGCACTCATGGGCTCATTGGCGCGATGAAAGTTTGGCCCACATGCTGCACTTGTGGTGCTCTTGTGTCGCCGTTCACGAAGTTCTTCGGAACCAGGTTCCAAATCATATTTTCGAGGAGGTCTGCGCGAATCGTTGGAATTCCTAGTGTTTCGAACCGGCTTCGAACCGGGTTCCATGACATCTGCTCGGGAAAGTCCATCACGAAGCGCTCGCTGTCCAATTGTGTCGAGCCAATTTCAACTCGGGTTCCGAGTCATTGTTTCGAGGAAATCCAGCAAGAGATCTTAACGTTGTTCGCCGTTTCCGAACCTCGGTAGGTGTGTAGATGAGGCAAGATGTCGGTGCGAAGCACGGTCTTACACCCCAAACAACAAAAAACAAAAAGGGCAGACGAGCTCGATGGAACTCCGCCCTGTCCGATTCTACAGGCACAGGTGGCTGGAGGCTGAGCGTGCAAGTGCGAGCGACTGGAAGGTCGCTGAAATCCGTAAGGGCTTCGCCCCCTGCCGCCGGCCCCCTCTCTCGGAGAATGGGCCATGGAAGAGCTAAGTCACGAGGCTTTGGCGCTGTCGTGCAGCAGTATCGGAACTTCATGCGAGGCCGATTCGCAATCGGCAAAACCAACTGATCACAAGATATCACAAGAGAGGTTACCACACAGGGCGATTGGTAAGACGTGTATGGTTTACGAGCTTGGTTACCACACCTTGGGATTAAAGGGCCGAGGGAGTACTCGCAGTTTGGGTTACCACGCCTTGCGATGGATGTGCGTGAGGGGTGGCACCGAATTTCAGAAATGTAGCAAATCCCCTGTGTTTTTGGACCCTGACCCCGCGGATCTGCGTGAGGGGTGGCACCGAATTTCAGAAATGTGGCAAATCCCATGTGTTTTTGGACCCTGACCCCGCGGATCTGCGTGAGGGGTGGCACCGAATTTCAGAAATGTAGCAAATCCCTTGTGTTTTTGGACCCTGACCCCGCGGATCTGTGTGAGGGGTGGCACCGAATTTCAGAAATGTGGCAAATCCCATGTGTTTTTGGACCCTGACCCCGCGGATCTGCATGAGGGGTGGCACCGAATTTCAGAAATGTGGCAAATCCCATGTGTTTTTGGACCCTGACCCCGCGGATCTGCGTGAGGGGTGGCACCGAATTTCAGAAATGTGGCAAATCCCGTGTGTTTTTGGACCCTGACCCCGCGGATCTGCGTGAGGGGTGGCACCGAATTTCAAACATGTGGCAAATCCCCTGTGTTTTTGGACCCTGACCCCGCGGATCTGCGTGAGGGGTGTCGATTTCGAGCCCCCCCAGCAATTCAGACAACGCGCCCAGGGGGTGCTAAAAAATCCTGTTTGGGCCTCCCCCCCCCTCGCGCGGTCAATCAACTAGTTACAGTAACCAGCAAGAAGCAGAACTGTAACACTGGACACTACAAACTACAACTGGTACAGGAAACTGCGAATCACGTGCCTCGCAGCCTGGTGGCCCCACAAGGGGGCCGGCGGATTTCTTTGAGCAACGCCAACTGCACGCAGAAGGCGACGAGGATCGCGGAGACAAGGGCGTAATGTAGAACATCACGCCACGAAGTCCTGTCCCGTTCGACCGGCGCCGAACGGCCACTGTCCGAGAGTAACGCCGACTGCACGCAGACGGCGTCGAGGAGCGAGGAGAAGAGGACGTAGAAGTGGAAGAACACGCCTCCCCGGAAGCCATGCCCCGTTCAGCCGGGCAGAATACTCCAACCAACGGACGCCGAACAGTCAATGTCCGAGAGGAGCGCCGGATGGCACCCCAGATGAAGAACGCGAAATTGAGGAAGATCACGCCTTGTCTCAAGTCTTGCCCAAGCCGGCTGGCCGGGGAAGGTAAATCCCGCGGACGCCGGCCGGCCATCCCAGGACACCTCGTGAAAGGCGGTGTGTGCGCCCCGCTGGCGGAGCCAGGACGGTCCCTGGAGAAAGCCACGCCGCCCTGGACATCCGTCGGGCCAGGAAGAAGAGAGGTAGAGTCCAGCCCAGGGCCGGCTGCTGTCCGTGCGGTCATTGCCGCTGCCATCTAGAAATGGCCCGAGTCCGGCAGGCATACTTTGTGAAAACTTGCAGGTACGTCTTGTTCGTGTAGAAGTACTGTCGAATTCATGCGGTGCTCCCGGCTGGGATCAGGAAATACTTTGCCAAGACAACCTCTGGCGCTTCAATGCCGAAGCATCGAAGCCCAACCACACGGCGAGGACGCGTTATCCGTTTCCGAACCTCCATTTCATCGGAGGTGCAAGCCCCATGTTGCCTGGCCCCCGCGGGCACAGCTCCATCCTCCTCACATTGTAGCAGGCTCCGCGCACCTAAGGGGCATCTCCGATCCGCACTGTGTCAGCCTGTCAGAAATCCGGTAACTCTTCATCACGGCACATTCTTCTGCAAGTTCGAACGGTTCAGGCGGCGACAGAAACCAAAACCCCCGCCGTCTTGGCACAATCGTGGAGGAAGAAGAAGAGGAGGAGGAGGACGAGGAGGGGGAGGAAGCAGGAGGACGAGGAGGGGGAGGGAGGAGGAGGAGGAGGGAGGAGGAGGAGGAGGAAAGGAGAGTGGAGGGAGAGAGAAAGGCGGCGAGCCGGGAGGAGGGAGAAGGCAGCGAGAGGAAGGAAGAGTATTAGGGGGCCACTGTGTGATCAGCAGCAGCGCGGGCGCCCCACCCCAACCCCCTGCGTCCTCGGCCCCGCCCGGGACCCCGCTGCCCATCGCCCGGTGGCGCCAGGGCTCCTCGATCGCGCAGAGGGTGGCCCAGCTCAACGAGAGCGGCGTCCTCGCCCGCGCCATCGAGGTGAAGGAGTCTTTCTTTCCTCCTCGGCCGCCTCCCCTGGATGGGTTTCTCCGAAGGGCTTAGGCGACCCGACATCCTTCTCCTCCTCCTCCACCTCCTCCACCTCCTCCTCCTCCTCCTCCTCCTCCTCCTCCTCCGTAGCCATTTTGGCTCAAGCCATTTTGGCTCAAGTCCGTAGCGGTGGCTCTGGACAGGAGTGCTTTTTGGCGCGAGGGAGCAGCGGCCCTCACCACTTTCACGGAGGCAACACCTCCGAATCCTTCCTCATAACGTATAGCGGTTTCAGCCCGCGCGACCTTTGCTCACCATTACGGCTGGCCCATGGCGCCACCTGCCAGGCAGGAGGCGGTTCTCCCTGGACCGAGATACCCCGTCTGGGGGTGCGGCCGTTGTGGAGCGGCCCAGAATTGGGCGAGTCGAGTGGTGTGTCAGTGCGGTAATCCAGCCCCGTCCAGGGTTGTTCAACGAGCGAAAGAGAATGCAGCAGCTTGGGCGCAGAATGGACCCTCGCATGCAAAGTCAAAAGGTAAAGGTGGTAACGGATCGAAGGGCAAGGGTAGCGACGGCGGCGCTGACAACGGAAAGCTCCAGCGGCTCGAGAACCAGCTGGCGCAGGTGCTCAAGGCCGTGCAGTCAGGCACCCCGCCAGCGGCACCTGGTGGTGCAGCCAGGCCTTCTGGCACGGGGGGCAAGCCGCCATGGCATGCTTCGGAGCCGCCCACAGCTGGAGGCACAGACGCACAGTCTGAGGAGAAGGCTGACAACGGTGCCAAGCGAGATGCCATCATGCAAGAGATCAATGAGTTGGACGATGTGCTTAAGCGACTCCGCTGCAACAGCGGTAATGAAAGTATCAAGACCCCGATCGAAGAGCGGCTCAAAGATCTTCGCAACCAGCACAAGCAGTTGCGATCCCCTACGACTGCACACAGACGTGCAGCGCAGGACCTCAGTCGGGCACGCACATCGTTGCAGAAGGTGCAAGATGAGCTTAGTGAAAAGCAGAAGCAGATTGAAGGACTTCGTGAGTCGATCGCGAAAAGACAGGATGAGATTGTGGCAAAGCAAAGGGAAGTGGAGGCGCTGGAGGTCGAATTTGCTGAAACGGCCAAGCATGTCACGACCCCTACCGAGGATGCGAAGCAGGCGCCCGACCTCTCGCAGCTCTTTGATTTTGGGTCCGAGCCAGACGCGGTTCCCAAAGAGCTCATCCCTTTCCTTCAGAGCCCCGAGTGGAAGACGCTCCAGTCTTTACTCACGCAGAGGGCTTCTAAGTTGCCCACTAAGATGGATGTTGACGGCGGTGGTGATGGTAAGCCTACTGATGATGCCGCTGCAGCCAAGCCTGGCGATGATGGGCAAGCTGCAGGGGAGAAGCGCATGTATGAGGACCTCACCGAACCAGAACACGAGGTTTTGTTCGCCCTGGCAGGAGATAAAGAGCAGTTTCGCCAAAAGCTTGCCGAGTTCTCCGTCAAGCGTGCAAAAGTCAGTTCCAGTTCCTAACGCTTTCTGTTTGCGGCGATGGCTGTGGGGGCTGTCTGGCAGGAGTTCGTCTTCGGCGTCCTGCAGTGCTACGGCCTCCCCGTCGTCCGCGTTGCGGCCTGACCCTGAGAAGGCTGAGACCCTTGGCTGGATGGCACCCCCACCGCAGCTGCAGGCTCAGGCTTGCAGTGGGCGAGGAGAGGGACCCCAGCCTAGGGAATCGCTGGAGGGAAGGCCCACCTGTTCGTCTACTGCTACGAGGGCAACAAGTTCTACGGTATTCACTTCTTCGTGTACGCTGGCATTAGAGCGCGGCGTCGTCAGTTTTGCGGATCCGACAGTGCGTGATCCCAAGTTCGATTTTCCCCGAGTGAGTGGTTTCAAGTTATCTCATCATGGAACGGTTCCTGCAGCAGACGCTGAACACGATGATACGTTCCATGAGTTCGAATCGTTCAACGCTAACGGTGGGAAACGCACAGTGAAGAAGAGGCTCGAGAAGAGTTCGGCGAAAGTGATTTTGATGCAAGAGATCGGACATCTTGAAGCGGATCTTGAAGCTCTTGACTCCTGGTGCGCTGCGCGAGGTTGGTCAATGCGAGCTCTTTCGTCGAAAGCAACGGCAGGTCACAACACTGGAGCTGGTGTCGCTGTGTTTGTTCGGACTGGAGTCGGACTTCGACCACCTGCAGTTGGAGCTGAGTGTCTCTTTCCAGCCCGGCTACAACGAGTCGAGGTTGACCTCCCAGGCTGGCCCGCCATCACGGTGTTCAACCTCTACCTCTACCCGCAGGTAGGCCCTAGCGGGGCTAATGCCCCCATCCTCGCTGAGCTAGGCAGAATGATGCAAACGGTTTCTGGACCTGCTTTTTGTGCAGGCGATTGGAACCTGACCCCAGAAGCTTTGGAGGCGTCGGAGTTTCCTGTCCTGGCGGATTTGCGCGTGCTGGCGCCTGCGGTGCCAACTTGTCGAGGGGGGACAGGTTCCAGCATCATTGATTTTTACTGTTTGAATGATACCTTAATGCGAGGTTTTAAGAAGCTAACGGTTGATATGCGCTGGACGGTTAAGCCTCATCGGCCCATCCGTCTAGCTATCTCAGATAACGGGTTTAAACTCAAACATTTAGTTTACTCAGTTACCCCTGCGCTGCCCAAAGAGTTCCCGATAGGCCCTGCTCCTCAACCACCGACCTGTCCATCGAGCAGCGTCTAGCCGAGGATGCCTGCGAGGCTGCTTCGGATCCTTCGGTTGCTCCGAGCGTGGCCTGGGCCATGCTTTCGAATGCCCGGGGTCGTTTCGCCACTACAGCGGCGAGATACCTAGGTGAGAGGGCAGGGCAGCCTTTGAAGAACCCAGGGGCTTTCGGGCGATGTTTAAAAGCGCGGTGGGTTGAAGTTTGTTGTACGACTAAGACCTCCAGTGATGTGCAAGCGATCGCCGACGGCTGGAAGTGGCTCCAAAATGCTGTTGGTCAGGTCCTGGTCTTCTCCCGTGTGGCCGACACGGCTCAAAATCAGATGATGCTTGCACATGAGGTCTCAAGCTTTTTAGTTGATGAATTCCCAGGCCTGGGGTTGAGTGCTCGCCTTGAGCGGTCCGTTCAAGCGGCGAGAGGTTGAGTCAGCACTGAGGAAATAGACCCCGAGGCGCTGCAAAGTTTTTTAGACGATATAGATTCTGACGTCGAGTTTGCAGCTAAAGGTGAAAGTAAGGAACAGAGTGACTCGCGGCACGACTGGCGCGTGGCCGCTCGAGCAGCAGGGTCGCGAGGGTTTCGCAAGATCACTGCTGTCCGCCAGGTCCGAGCAGCTACGATCGTGCAGGGCCCGAATGGACCCACTGCGGACGCCATCAGTATTGTGCAAAACGAGGTATCGCTGTATAAGAAACTCTGGGGTGCGACGTCGGAGCCTCCTCGGGCGTGGATCCCTGATCGGTCGTCTTGTGAACGAGCTTCTGTTACAGCGATACGAGAGGTAGGACGCACTTTTTCGCGCAGTACCTCCAGCAGTCTTGATCATTTTCACCCGCGTTTTGTGTTGGCCCTGGACGATTCAGGACTTGAGGTTTTAAGTTCTCTTTGGCAGGCCTGCGAGGCCATCGGTTTGCTCCCTCGGCAACTTTTGTGGGTGGTCCAACCCATGCTCCCAAAACCCAAAGGGGGAAACCGTCTCATAGTGCTCTATGCTGGCATGTACCGTGTATGGCAAAGACTGCGGCGCCCACTGCTGACGGAAGTGAATCGTCTGGTCGATCGTCGTTATTGGGGGGCGTCGAAAGGTCGTTCAGCAGTGGATTGTGCCTGGCTCCAGGCAGCGCGCAGTGAGAGCGATGCCGAGCAGAATAAGCACAGCGTTTTAATAGTGGCCGATTTTTCGAAGTATTACGAGACGATTCCCCTAGAAGCTCTCAGGGACAAGTTTTTGAGGTTCAACGTGCCGCTTAGTTTCCTGAAACTGGTTTATAATGTTTGGAAGGGCCCACGACTCTTGCGGCTAGGTCAGCACCATGCCCAGAGTGTGCTCTTCGCAGAAGGAGGGCTGCCCGCGGGAGATGTCTTTAACGACATCTCGATTAAGATACACGCGGTTCAGGAATTCGATTCCTTCCTAGTCAGGCAGCCTTTTATCGATTTTCTCAGCTATATAGATGACAGTGGCATCGGAATAGCTAGCAGTGACAGGCAGATAGCCAAGTCTATGGCCGTCTCAGCAGGTAGAGATTTCAAACTTTGTGTGCAAGAGCTTCTGGCCAAGCTGAATGATAAGATAGCGGTAATTTCCAGTACAGACGGCCTAGCTAGAGAGGTTTGTAAAGAATTACGTTTCCCTCGCGAGGCTGCACTAACGAGTGTTGCGTATCTCGGGGTAGATCAGTCTGGAGCCTCTCAACGTACTATGCCGCATGCCAGAGATAAGCAGCGAACACGGTTTTCCAAGATGCGTTTCAGGCTCAGGAAGCACAAGCGACTTGCGCGTACAGTAGCAGGTTGCACTAGGAAGTCTTTTCAGCGAGTTTTGAAGACTGGTGTTTCCACGGGTGCTGCCTTCGGCACCGAGGTCCTGGGCCTAAACAATCTGGAATGGTTTAACTTTCGACGGCTCCAAAGCCGAGTGCATTCCCCCCAGCATGGAGGAACCAGTTTAAGTGCAAAAACGGTTCTTTTTGGAGATGAGAGTGCGAGGTCGGCGTTAGCTCCCGCGTTGCAGTGGTGTCGTATGTTGTGGCTGGCTCAGTCTAACGCCGACCGAGCACTTGTCTCCACGCACGATTTGTGTAGAATGTGGCGAGAAGCCAAAGCTAGCAGTCCCCGATCCTGGCATGCGAGCAAAGGGCCCCTCTCGAGAGCGAGGCTCGCAGCTTGTCGTGCAGGATGGGATGCACCCGATCCTCTCCTCTGGACAGACCACAACGGTCTACAAGTCAACATCGGTCAGTTGACTCCAGGGTTGCTTTTAGAGTTGCTCGAGGCCGGGCTACAGCGCCAGCACGAACAGGCCTTGGCGCGCAAGCTTGG